AAAACAAGTAATATAGTATCAGTCAGATGTATACTCCCAGCATTAAGTTATTATTATTCACACAGTTGACCCTTTATGGGGGAGGTTCCGAAGAATTTGGCCAATATTATCTAATTTATATCTGACATTAGACTGACATAAATATTACAAAGTGCCAGATTAGGACTATATCGAATACTTCCTATACTTTCTATCAATTTTTGGAAAATGTGGAAATATGCGTGAGGTAACAGATATAGCTAACCGAAAATTCCATTTTCATACTTCATTTAATACAGATAAAATATTGGTATGTGCATGATTTGAAGGATATCGAACATTTATATTCAATGTTATGCGAAATCATAAATTCCGTTTGATTAAATATTCATCTCAGATTTCTGGCTAAGAGAAATATTTACATATAGCAAGTTGTAAAGAATCGCCGACTTGTTTCGCAAATTATGACAGATATAAGTATTGGAAATTGTGACTCTATGTGGGAGAGGTACCAGAATGGGTTGGCAGATATTTTTCATCCTCACGACAAACTTTTCGTTAGCAAAAATGCCTGGATGTGTGAAATTTGAAAACGGTTGGATGCTTATTTCGCGCTTTATGAGCGTTTTGTTTTTCAAAATTTTGAACCCTTTGTGGGGAAGTACCAGAAGGAGGGCGTCAATATATCCCATTTTCACAGCGGATCTTTTTTATATTTGTAGAGAACCGGATGCTTATTTCGGATTCTATTATCAGATTTCTTATTCAAAATTTTGGCCCTTTGTGGGGGAGGTACCAAAACAAAGGTCCGATCTCTACCATGTTTATAACAGATATTGTATTGATGGAAATATTGAGATGTGCTAAGACCGAATGTTAATTTCACGTTTTATGAGCTTTATGGATATTCAAACTTTTACTCCTTGTGGGGGAGGTACCAGGAGGAGTGGACCGATATATTCCATCTTCACACAAGATCTTGGATTATAAAAAATACATTTGCATGAAAATACAGATATATCAATAATTAAACGGTTATAGTCATTTCAAAATACCCCCATAAAAAAACTAAATGAAAAAACATGCTGAAGACCCCGAAATGTCGATAATTAAATAATTAAATTAAATTAAAATGTGATGTTAGTGTCCTACTGTCCTACTGCACATTAAAAGCAACTCGGACGAAGATATATACAGGGTGAGATGAAAAAACTGCAACCAACTTCAGACTGCTGTCAGTTCAAAGCCACACGTCCGATAGCTGTTAAAATTATTCCAGTAACAGCTCATTATATTGTTTACAAGCGTACAAAACCATTTTGGTGAGAATTTTCCAGAAAAAAGTTATTAGTGATGGAATTCAAGCGTGATTTCTTTATATTTGGCTGGAAAACCACAAGTGGCTATCGTTAGAGCACTCCAGAATTTAAATGTTGTGAATAAATCTTTTGTGTCTCGTACCAACGCTCGTTACCGTGATGCTGGTAGCGTAGCCCGACATCAAGGAAGTGGACGGAAGAAAACAGCCACATCAGCAGAAATGGTTCGAAAAGTAAAAAAAAGCGACTTGATCGAAACCCACGTCACAGTGGCCGAAAAATGGCTCGTGAGCTGAACATATCGTAATATTCCACTCGGTAAATATTGAAAAATGGCTTTACCCATAGATATGCCAAAAAGTGCAAGAATTTACACCGCAACAGAAAGAAAATAGACTCAAAAGGGCTAAAAAGTTGCTTCGCTTGGTCGAAAGTGGTGAACTGCCGAATTTCGGCCACCGAAATCTCCGGATACCAATCCGTTGGACTATTGTATCTGGAGTATTTTGGAAAGCAAAGTTGGCACTAAAAAATACCAAAGTAACGATCATCTCAAGCAAGCGCTTCGTCGAGAATGGGCCAAAATACCGCAGAGCAACATTCGAGCAGCGTGTGATAGTTTCATTGGCCGTTTAAAGGCCATAATTCGTGCCAAAGGTGACCAATTCGAACAAATCTAAACGCATTCTAAAATTTGATTCTATTTCCGACATTTTTTGCATTCATTCAATAAAATTAAAAAAAAAAATGTAAAAGTTATGTCGTTTGACTTTGTTGCAGTTTTTTTATCTCACCCAATAATGGGCAAATCTGACGAAGTTTTATATGGAAGCTATATCCAAATCTGAACCGATCTCGATTAAAATTAGCAACGGTATTTCTGAGCTTTATTTGATATATTTCCCCAAATATTGTTGTTACAGAGTGCATATAACGGCTGCGGAGCACAAAACTAAAAAATCGGATGAACAATATATATGGGAGCTATAGCTATATCGATGAAATTTGGCATACTTATTTTCAGGCCTAAGTTGGAAGTATGTGCCAATTTGGCCTAATATTACACGTTTGGTGCAGTCGAAAAAAAAGTCGGATCTAAATTTTGACCGATTATCTTCAATTTCAATAGGATTCGTCCTTGGGCCAAACAAACGATATGTGAAACAAGTTAAAAAAACTGTAAGTTCCGCCGTGCCGAACTTTGAATACCCTCCACCATTTGGTACAAATTTGGCAATTTTTAAAACAATAAAATCCGTTAAAATTCTGTTAAAATCTTAAAAATACCGAATATAGCCGTATATTATGGTCAATACGATGACGTGAACCTGCATAGGCAACTTTTGTCATAAGCTATTGGAATATTCAAATGCGAAAATTGAAAAATATCTGTTTATAATGTAGCTAAAATCATCAGAATACCGAATATAGGGAGGTACCATAGGGGTTATAAAACGTGGACCTGCATAGGCAATTTTCTGGCATAGGCCGTAGAATCCACTACGACCTTCAAATGCGAAATTTGAAACAATTCCGGTAAAAAATGTCGCTAAAAACATCAAAATATCGACTATCGGGAGGTACCGTTATATGGGGGCTATACGAAGACGTGGACTTGCACAGACAATTTTCTGTCATAGGCTGTAGTATCCATTACGAACTTCAAATAACAAATTTGGTACAATTCCGGTAAATAATATTGCTAAAGTCATCAAAATACCGAATATGTGGAGGTACGGTTATATGGGGGCTATAAGAAGACGTGGACCTGCCTTTCATAGGCTGTTGTATTCATTACGAACTTCTAATACCAAATTTGAAACTATTCCGGTAAATAATATCGCTAAAATCATCAAAATACCAAATATCGGGAGGTACCGTGATATGGAGGCTATACGAAGACGTGGATCTACATGGTCCATTTTCTGTCTTACGCTGTAGTATCTATTACGAACTTCAAATACTTAATTTGAAACAATTCCACGAGACGTGGACCTACATGGTCCATTTTCTGTCTTACGCTGTAGTATCCATTACGAACTTCAAATATCAATTTTGAACCAATTCTAGTAAATAATGTCGCAAAATACTGCATGTCGGGAGGTACCGTTATATGGGAGCTATACGAAGACGTGGACCTACATGGACCATTTTCAGTACCAAAAGTCCTGCAGACATAATATATATTTGAGTAAATCTTATCAACTTACTTTATTACGTTTGGAAGCTAGAGCGATTTCCACAGTCGGATAGACGGACAGACATTGCTAAATAGACATAGAATTTTATGCTGATCAAGAATATATGTACCTTGTGGGGTCTAAAATGTATATTTCGAGGTGTTACAAACGTAATGACAAACTTGATATATCCTCCATACTATGGTGGGTATAAAAATATCATCTCGATCAGACAATAAATACGACCTGTACTGCGTTTACAAAAATACATGGACAGACGGACGGACAGGCATAAATCGCCTCAAAATGTCATTCTATGCAGATCATCAAAAGGAACTGTGGGTCTAACTCGCTGCCTTCTCTATGTTACAAACAAATGCACAAAGACATAACACCCTGACCACAGTGTGGTGTAAAAATCAAATGATCCCAAAAATTGATTGCCCTCTTTGAAATTTCTTCATTCTTTCGTTATTCTCAGTATCTGTAATTTTCAATTCCATTCTCCGTGTGATTACAGATTCGTAAGGTTCTTTGTTTTTTTTTTTTCAGACTCATATACTTACATGCTTCTGGAAAAGCACAATATTAAAAATATTGAATCACTTGCGATTTCTTTCGAATTTACAATTTTTTAATCACATTGAAAACAAAAAAAAATATTTGTTTCAACAAATTAATTAATTTATTTTGATTTTTTTTTTTTTCATTTATTTTTAGGTAAGGAAATTTAAATCCAATGTGACAGATGTTTGAAAAACTGAAAATAGAAATATTTTTTGCACTTTTCTGAGGAATTTGTGATTAATTAATAAGGTATTACTGATTATTTTTAATTTAAGAATTATTAAATTAATTATTTGAAACCCGAAACTTTAAAATATTTAGTTTTCTTTTTCAATATTTTTATTCTTTTTAGATATTTTTTTTTCAAACTTACAGAATTTTTTTATTGAGGAATTTACTTTCTTTCTTTTATTGTTATCTTTGTTTCTTATATTTATTTTGAAATTGTTGTTGTTGTTTTTTTTTTTTTTTCTTCTATAAATTGATTCATTTAATATTTATATTCCAGTTCAATCTCAAATGTATTCTTTGACGCTAATATATAACCCGTTTCATGTGCCTATTTCAGAATCGTTTTTAAATTTCTTTTTTTTATTTTCAAATCCACTCTGCGACACAAAAAGCCATTCAAGTCGAACCCCTGAGGACGATGATGATATTCGACTTGGACTATTGACTATTAACGACTGAAATGTGTTCCTGTACAAGCGATTGCATTTATAGATCGGCCGAAAAAAAAAAACAAACAAACGCTGAGCCAGGCTGCTCGCTGACTGGCTATTAAGAAAAGGAAGAACAAGCTTAAGACGACGAAGCGTAGAACCGAGTGTAGAACAGAGACTAAGAACAAGTGGACTTGCACTTACTTACCCAACAAACATACGAAACAGCAGCCAGCCAGGCAGGCAGGCAGGCAGTCAGCTTGACTGCCAGCTTGTTGTAGGCTCGTACTTACCAACAAACATTCCAGCCTCCGTCGCATACACGGCGGATTGCACTCTCTCTACACTCTCTCTCCCTTAATATGCACAACAAACACACTCTTTATCTCTCGCCGTACTCACTGTTTTTTTTTTTTTTGCTGGGTTCGGTGTTTCTACTATTAACGGTTTAACTAAACTTTCGATTTATTTTTTTTATCATTTACTTTAGCACTGTTTCAATATTATTCTGTCTGGTATTGAAAAACGATTTTCTTAATACAGACGATAAACGTACGAACGAACGAACGCTAGGACGGGTTGTAGCTGCGGCGGATGCTGCGACTATCAATTGTAGGCTGTCAAGAAAACACAGTTCCATTGAATGCTGCTGGTTTACCTCAGCTGTTTTTTTTTCGACTTTTTTCTTCGCTCTCTTTATCGCATCTCATTCATGCACACAACAAAGCCTGGCTCTCTTCCTATAATGATAACCGTACGTCACTGGCATGTTTTGTTCCATTTCAAGTTATTCTCAGAACATTGAGTTTTATCACTTGATTCGAAAAGCCAGCGTTGCAGATTTGAGGAAAAAAGTAAAAAGCCGACCAGAAATGTTGTATCATTATGGGTTTGTCTTTCGTCCATAGAAGAACTCTTAAAGGCCTTCTGTATTTAGAAGACCTTTGAAAGTTCTTAAGTTTCAAAAAAAAAATCTCTTTAGAAGTCGTCTGTTCATAGAATCTATGTTTCTAAAGGACCTTTTCTGGGCTCTCTAGCAGATATTTTAAAACAATTGTTTCAAAATAAGATTTAAAGTTGTTTTGACCTTAAAATAATACCCATTAGAGGGCTTCTGTATTTAGAAGGCATTTTAAAAACCCTTTCGAAGGCAGTTAAGATTTTTTCAACCTCTTGAAGATCTTTTAAAATTATTGTTCTGCAAAACACCTTTTACAGGTCTTCTTTCTCTGGAAGACCTTTTAGACGCCTTTCAGACTCTTTTTGAACTTTAGAAGGACGTCTTTTCATTGAAAAAATTTTAAAGATATTCTATCTCCATGTTTTTTAATGTCCTCTGCCTCTGGAGGACCTTTTAGAGATATTATATTACCAGTATAACTCTTTGATAAGACTAGATGACCTTTTAGATGTCTTCATTCTTTTAAGAGCATTTAGAGAATTATTTTCATTGAAGACATTATAGGGGTATTCTGCCTCTGTAAGACCCTTTAAAGATATTTTGCCTCCAGGGGACTTTTTAGGTATATTCTTACTCTCCATTTTTTGCTTTTAAATGACCTCTATCTCTAGAGGACATTTTAGAAATATTATGTTACCAGAATACCTTGTAGACTAGGTGACCTTTAAGATGTCTCTTTAGTCTTTTAAGACCATTTAGAGACTTATCTTCAGTGAAGACCTTTAAGAGGTATTCTGCCTCCTTAAGAACTTTTAAAGATATTTTGCCTTCAGGGGACATTTTAGGTATATTCTGTCTCTAGAAGATCTTTTAGACACTTGTTGTCTTATGGTAAGATCTTCTAAAGGTCTACAAACTTTCGAAGGCCGTTTAGAAGTCGTCTGAAGCCAGCAGGCTTTTTGTAGGTATTTTTTCAACAGCAGGTCCTTTCTTTTGTTTATAAGTTAGAGATGTTCTTTCACGATTCCGTTTTATCTTCAGTAGACGTTTCATAGAAGTCCTTAATGAGATCTCCTGTCGCTAAAAGACCTCTTAGATGTTTTCAATCCCTAGAAGTTATTTTAAATTGTATTCTGTCCATAAAAGACCGGCTAAATGCCCTATGTCTATGAAAGATCGTCTACATATATTTTGTATAAGGAAGACCTTCTACAGGTCTTCTGTCGGTAAGTAAAATACAGCTATTCTAACAAATGAGTTGAGTTATTGACTAATTTACTAACTGTCTGACAGATTCATCAACGCTAACAAGAAACGCGTGAAGGTAGAATCTTGATTTTTTTTTGCATGTGGGTCAATGTTGGTGGATAGGGGTGAGATTTTGGAAATTCGGACTAGAAGCACTAAGAAGCAGCCAATTTTCTGTTATTTATATATATTTTGACTTATGGTTGTTCAAATTGTTGACCCTCTTTAGAGTAGGTTCCGAAGGAATGGCCTTGTACAAAGTCCGAATGGAATCGGATGATAATTTCACATTTTATGAGCCTTACGGATATTCAAAATATTGACCCCTTTTGGGGGAGGTACCAGAAGGAATGAACCTATATATCCCGTCTTTACATCAGACTTTGGGTTAATAAAAATATAATGATGTGTGAAATATGAAGAGAACCATATGCTTATTTCGGATTTTATAATCGTTTTGGTTAATCAAAACCCGTTGACCCTTTCTGGGGAAGGAATACTCCGATCTCTACCATCTTTACAACTGATCTTGTGTTGATAGAAATATTAATTTCGCATTTTATGTGGTTTACGGATATTGAAAATTTTGAAACTTTTTTGGGTACCTCATTCTGGTACCTCAGAAGGAGAGGACTGATATATCCCCTCTTTACACCAGACTTTGGGTAAATAAAAATATTGTGATGTGTGAAATATGAAGAGAACTGGATGCTTATTTTGGATTTTATAATCATTTTGGTTAATCAAAACCCTTTGTTGGGGGAGATTCCAAATGGAATAGTCCGATCTCTACCATCTTTATAACAGATCTTGTGTTGATGGCAATATTGAGATTTGTAAAGTCTGAATGGTATCGGATGTTAATTTCGCGTCTTATGCGCTTCATAGATATTCAAAAATTTGTCCATTTGTAAGGGAGTTACCTGAAGTTGAGGACCGATATTGTCCATTTTCGCACCTGACCTAGCACTGATGCAAGTATTAGGATGTGTAAAGTTGAAGCAAAATCGGATTATCCTTTCTCTTTCTGAGCAGTAAAAATTTTTTTTTTTTGAAAATTCGACCTGAGGTGGTACTCGAAGGAGTGCGCCGATATTGCCCATCACCGAACTCGATCTAAGTTTGACAAAAATATTGCGATATACCAAGTTTGGACCAAATCGGAGAGTTATAGTGCGCATTAGCCAGACAGGGAGACAGACAGACGGACGGACATCGGTAAATCGACTCCATATGTCCTGAAACGGATTTGTCCAAAAATACCTGGGGTCTAAAACCGTTATTTCGATTAGGAACGTTTTGGACGTATCAAATGATATATACCCTCTCTGATCGTATGGCTGAGGGTATAATAACACCATATACCTGTGTGCTTACTTCATTTGTCCGGTAAGTTTCGATAGGTTTTCGTTTACGGGAACGGTATTCAAGCTGGTTCTGCTAAACAACTTTTATATTCCCTTTTATGTAGAAGACCTCTTTAGTCATGCTATATCTGCAATGGCAACCCTTGCCAATACTTTGTTTGCCTTCTCTGACCCAACTCACTTATCACAAATGAAAAAGTTGTGGTCCGTGTGAATGGATCATGCGATCTGCCTGTTTCGGTTGATATTGCAGTATTATCACAACGATGACGGTTATTCAACTTGAAAAAAGGCATTTATTTATATGATGGATGGTGTCGGTAGTAGCAGCGACATTAATTGGTGAGGAATTTTTAAAAGATTAATATTTATTGTCTATAATTACCTGTAGAATTTAAAAGGAAAATTTGATTTTTTATTTTTTCAAATATTTTTTTTTTTCAATTTGCAATTAGACAGAGTTAACTGTAACATATCGTCAACATCTTTAGCCGGCACTAATGAAAACGCCTCATAACTTTCGTTTTTAAAAATAATCGAATTTTTTCACGTCATTGAAATTCCTGCATTGCCAAAAAAAAATTATTTAAAGAATATTTAAAAATTATTGAATTCGGGTCACTGTATCAGTACAAATGGGATCAATGTAATCTAAACGTGAAGGAATGTTGGATTTAGGTATTTCCAGTTAAAATAAGTTAAAAATCTTATTTTGGCGCCCAAAATAATGATCGATGGAATATATCAAGGAAAGTAAAATGCGAAATTAAAATATAGGAAACAAGTCGGAAGTTAATAAATATAGGAAACAAGTCGTATCTATAATATATATATATATATATATATATATATATATATATATATATATATATATATATATATATATATATATATATATATGCAGGAAAAAGTCGAATAAATTATTATTAAAAATTGAATACACGTATATCGGCGTTTTCAGAATTTACATCGCCAAGTATCTAAATGAAGAGGCTAAATTCCTCCTCCTTCCACATTTTTTTTTTTGGAAATTTTCGAATTAAGATTCCTTAGAATCCGTACACTTTAGGTGTATAGGGTCTGAGGCAATATTACATATAATAATACGAGGATTATTTTGTTTTCAAACTTTTACCCTCAGACGATTTGCCAAAAGGGTCTTTTTTTAAAATATGGTTAAAAACATCCTTAAAATTCGATCGTTACAAGTCCAAGTATTCTGCATATTTATTGGTCATGAAATGACTACTATAGGCCCCAGAAGACATCAAAAGTCTAAAAATAACCTAAACGCCAGGAATTCATATTTTTTAACAATACATTTGTGGGTTAAGTCATACTACATGCGGGAGTTTATGCAAAATTCTCCTACATAGCATCATGTTGGAAAGATTACGTCAAAGACAAAATTACTCTTCGGAAACGGAATCTCTATGTATGTATCAAAAAAATATTTGCATCATCGTTGCCAAAGAGCTAGAAATATACAGGGCGAGATGAAAAAACAGCAACCAAGTTCAGACTGCTCTCATGTCTAAGCCACTCGTCATACAGCTGTTAAAATTTTTCCAGTAACAGCTCGTTATATTCTTTACAAGCGTACAAAAACATTTTGGTGAGAATTTTCCAGAAAAAATGTATTCGTGATGGAATTCAAGCGTGATAGTGTGATTTGCTCTAACGATAGCCACTTATGGTTTCCAGCCAAATATCTTTATACCATAAGTGGCTATCGTTAGAGCACTCCAGCATTTAAATGTGAGCAAATCTTTTTTGTTTCGTACCATCGCTCGTTTACGTGATTCTGGTAGTGTAGCCCGACGTCAAGGAAGTGGACGGAAGAAAACAGCAACATCCGCAGAATTGGCTCGAAAATTAAAGAAGCGACTTGATCGAAACCCGCGTCGCAGTGGCCGAAAAATGGCTCGTGAGCTGAACATATCGCAATATTCCATTCGGCAAATATTGAAAAATGAGCTCGGGGTAAAACCATTGACATTTCAAAAAGTGCAAGAACTTACACCGCAACCGAAAGAAAATAGACTCAAAAGAGCCAAAAAGTTGCTTCGCTTGGCCGGAAGTGATGAACTGGCGAATTTGGTTTTCTCCGA